ATTAGAAAAAGAAATAAGGCCAAATGAAGCTAGCCTCTGAAATATGATATTCTAACTAAACACAAATCATATATCATCCTAATGAAGAAGGCTGAGAAGAAACCCTGTAGCCACACAGGAAGCTGTTAAGTTAACTCAGATTGTTAAAGTATATTACAGAAGATGGTGTGAAGGGTATGTAACTCAGGACAAATATTTTTTAGAAATGGCACAGAATTGTCATATTATCCAGCCAAAAGCCAGGATAATCTAAACCTTATGGAAAATATGATTAGAACAAAAAAAGGGCACAATTATTTGATTCCATTTTTTGTCTTTGTCCTGAAACATGATGTTCAAACTGGAATGGGTAGAGAAAACATTGTCTTAGAAAATGCATGAGAGATGAGAAGATAGTAGAAAGCACCAGCCAGCTGCTTTTAATTAGTTTTAGGTTTCAGGTATGGATAAAATTACATCGATTGGCAATGGAAACTTAAAAGATATGATCACCAAATCATGTTCAGGAAGTCATCATGGAGGATGATTCATAGGGAACGGGCTAGGAACCGAAAGACTAGAGACAGGCAAATATCCTGATTTTCAAAAAGGGGGGAAGATAGATTCCACACACTATAAATGAGTAAGCTTAACATTGATTCCTGAGGGGGGAAAAGTCTAGTGTGGATTACTTAACAAGTGGTTTGTGGGCACTTCAGAATAGAAAGTGTTAATTCTATAGAGACAATGTAATGCTTGTCAAATTAACCTCATTTCCTTTTTTTAATAAGATGACTAGACGGGTAGATGAGAATGACATAGACATAGTGTATCAGTTTTAGAACATTTGACAAAAGTCCCTCATTATGACTTCGTGGAGAAGATAAAGTGCAGTCAGGTGGACTCATAGCTTGCTGATCAACTCTGTCCCCAAAATGTTGTTTAATGGATCCTTGTCAACCTGAAGGTAGGTCACTTATGGATAGCCACAGGCTATCCTGATATGCTCACTGATTTGGATAAAGGCATGACAGGTATGTGATCTTTTAGATAACCCAAAGCTAGCCGGAATAGTTAAATAATTGCATGACACAATCTGCTTCAAAACCAGGTGAAATTTAAGAAAGAAAATCAATGTTCAAGTACATGATTAAAGTAGATCTGTTTCAGCAGCAATTCATGTGAAAAGACCTGGGTATTTTAGTTGGCCATGAAGTTCAAGATACAACCTAAAAAAAAAATTTGTTGAAATCTTAAATTTAGTTAATAGATAAAGCTGGCCAGATCAAGGTGATATTCTCACTGGAATCTACACTGGTCAGACCACATCTAAGTTATTGTGTTCAGTTCTATAAACTACCATTTTAAGAAGAATGTTGTCAAACAAGAATGTCTTTGTAAGGGAAGCATCCAAATTGTCTAGATTTTTGAAAACTATCTCCTGTGAGTTAAAGTGAGGGACCTGGGGATATGTATCTGGGTGTTGAGAAGGTTTAGAAAAGACCTATTAGCTCATATATTTAAAGTGTAGTCATGTTTGAGAGAGAATAGACTTTGCTCCAGAGACAGAATTACGATGACTAGATGAAGGTTACAAGAGGGTAAATTTCAATTCATTATGAGCACAAATGCTTTAGCAGCAGCAAAGCCCCCTAACAATGGAAGAGGTTCCTCCTTCTCATACAGTGGATTTCCTCCCTGTTAAGTGTTTGCCCTCCCTAGTAAGTGTCTGTTAAGTGTCGGATACCCTTAGAGGTGTTACAGAAGGACGTCCTTCATCATGGAGGAGATTGGACTCAATAACCTCTAAGCTCCCTCTGGTGTCTTAAGATTCTATTACAATTACTTCTCATAAAATTTTGCTTATAGTTTTGTTCATCTTAAGTAACACAGGATTTTAATGCCAAACTTTGCAGAAACAGATTGTAAAAGGTCGAATTTTACATGAATTAAAATTTTCTGATAATCCTGATGTTTTAGTGTATTTTGAAGATTTTCTTCGTATTTCAGAAAAAAATTAATGTTTTTTCCATGTTTTTAAACTTTAAAAAAAACTCATTAAAGATATCTAGACAAGGGGCAGCTAGGTGGCACAATGGATAGAGCACCGGCCCTGGAGTCGGGAGGACCTGAGTTCAAATGTGATCTCAGACTAGACAGTTGACACTTACTACCTGTGTGACCCTGGGCAAATCACTTAACCCCAATTGCCTAAAAAAAAAATCTTGATTTTTTTTGAATTAATCAATCTTTAATTCATTACAAAAAAGAAATTAATAAACAAACATTTTAAAATACTTTTCTCCTATTATTCCCCAATGATTTTTACCAAGGGATAGAGATAGGAAATAGGCCTGTAGTATTATTGATATAGAGAACTCCCAAGTGAAGAAGCTCCTTCTGCCAATGGTAGATCAGCACTTTCCCTGCAACTTAGTCTCCTAGAGCACTGAGAGTTTCTCTGGGGATGGATAGCATTTTTCATCATAAGTCCTTCAGAGTCTTGGCTTGTTGTATGGCTGAGAATAGCTTAAGTCAATCACAGTTATCACCTTATAATATTGCTGTTACTTTGTACATAGTACATTTCATTTTGCATCAGCTTGTACAAGTCTTTCCAGGTTTTCCTGAGAGCATCCTGCTCATCATTTCTTATTGTACAATAGTATGCCATCATAATCACATAAAAGGAAATGTTTATGACAGAAGTTATGGAGATAGATTTGTCAAAGAATTATATAGTAAGCGAGGGTGAGGAGTGGAGGATGATACCATAGTTGCAAACCTAGGTTGATTGGGTGGATATGGGTGCCCCTAACAATAATAGGGAAGTTTAGAAGAGGTATGTTTGAGAAAGATAATGAGCTTTATTTTGTGCATGTTAAGTTTGAGATGTCTACAGGATATCCAGAGGGCATCTGAGAGGAACTTGAGTTATATACATATATATTATATTATATAATGCATATATATGTATATAATATATACATACCATATGTATAATATAATACATAATTACATATCATTATTATGTGTATATGATATAAAACATGCCTTTTTGTGCCTCTTTGCAGACCTTCTGTCTCTTTATGTCTATCCATCTCTTAGGAATGCTCCTCAGTCATCCTTGTTTTTTGGGTTCTTATTTTAGCTCTCAGTCTCTGTCTATTTGCATCTTGGTAGCTTTGATCTGTGATCCTGTTAATCTCCTTTGGCTCGGTTCCCACCTCCACCTGTGGCTCTGGGATGGCCTGTGCTTTTCTGTATTTAACCATAAGCCACTCACTCCCTTCTAGGCCCAGTCTCTACCTGTTTTGTTTTTTTCCTTCCTGGCTTTACAAAACATTTCTTCATCCTTCTTGTCCTTATTTCTGTTCTTTGCCTCTGGTCTCCATTTCTCTTCTGCTCTGTCTCTTGTCCTACTCAGCTTCTTAGCCTTCTAACTGTATTTTTATTTGCCTTATACACAAAACCACTTTTCTGTTCCATGAGCAGAAGGAAATCTACAAACATGCACATCTGTGGAGAGTAAATTGCATTGCTGGGAAGAATTTTAGCATTTTCAGGGCTTGTCTGAGTTCTTAGTTCAGGCCACCTGAATACATGTCTCTTTTCACTTCCCACACCCCACTCTTGAACCACTATGGCAATGATCTGCCATCTGTGTAATGAAATAATAGGAGCTGACATTTGTGTAGTGTTTTCAGGAATTAGAAAGTGCTTCTCCTATTATTTTTATTCTCCTTCTCTCTATAGATTAAGAATGGTCAAGCTGGCCTGGGATAGGAACCAGAAGTGGCATGGCCAAAAAAAAAATTGACAATTACCCTCCCCCTCCCCCAGGGTTATTATATTCCTAGGACAACGTTTTTCTCATTGCTGTCTGGAATGCCTTCATATATGTTTGCATCTTACTGTCACTGTAATCTCATTTTAGATGCCTAATCAGTATAATTTATGGCAATTTTTTCTTCTTGCATCTGTTTCAAGGACTTCACATGAAGCTATAAAAAGCCACATGAAACATGAGGCCAAACCCAACCAGAGAGCAACTGAGTACCAGCCCCTTTACTGACCCCCATCCCTGTTGTAGTAGATAGGAAATCAGACTTGGAGCAGGGAGGCTCTGAGTTCAAATATTATTTCTTTTTTTAAATTTCAATTAATTTATTTTGAATTATTAACAATCACTTCCATAAGCTTTTGAGTTTTAAATTTTTCTCCCTCACCCTCCCCACCTCCCTCCCCAAGATGGAGTGCAATCTGTATAAGCTATACATATACATTCCTATTAAGCATTTTCACATTAGTGATGTTGTTCAAATGTTATTTCAGGCACTTATTACCTGTGGGACCCTGGGCAAGTCACTTAACTTCTTATTGCCTTCTTCTCCTCATCTCCCTAAGGAGGGGGTCCGCCTCAGGGGCATCTAACTTCCCTTCTAGCTCTAGGTCCACGATGTTATCATCTTAAAAGTGTGCCCACTGGCAGAATCTTTCCTCTGCTCCCTTACCGTGTTTACCTATTAGCCTTGTACTGTTGCTCTTTCCAAATAACTATCAAGTGTCTTACTCCTCTCATACCTTCTAACCCTTCACAAATGCTAGTAACAAACCCTTTCAACTTTTTGTCTCAACCTGTGGTTTTATGAGTGTGGAAGCTCCCTAACCTGATGCACATCAACAGTTCCTCTGGAACTCGTCCTCTCCCTTTATCACTGGCTAGCATATGTCTGAAACAAGAGTGAACCCAGGTCTTCTGGACTCCCAGGGGGGCCCACTATACCCTATGGTCTTGTTGCTGCTTGGGAATAATAATGATGATAATGATAATCAATGTCTGTGATTTATAAAGAGCATCATATAAAAATCTTACTGCCTACTCATATGCAATCGGACCCTTTCTGAAATAATGAGATATATTTTCAGTTTAGAGGAAGAATGATTAAACATCCCTGTGCTCTCTGTTAGAAAAAATTTTAAAAATCAAGACACACTTCTTTTTTTCTCGTTGTTCCCAGGGATGTTGCTTGGTGGTTTCATCGTCAGAAACACTCCAGTCATCCGTGATTCAGTTTATATCAATCAAGTCTGGTCGTCCCATTTGAGAAATACTGCCCTTACCATTATATTGGTACAAGCCGGGCTTGGGCTTGATCCACAGGTAGATCATAACTTGGAATTTGAATTTGAGAATTACAGAAAAGTGAAAGAGACAGAATTTGCCTTATAGTTATTTACTTTTTTTTTTTTTTTTTAGGAAATTGAGGTTAAGTGACTTGCCCAGGGTCACACAGCTAGTAAGTGTCAAGGCTTGGTCTGAGGCCAGATTTGAACTCAGGTCCACTTGACTTCAGGGCCAGTGCTGTATCCACTGAACCACCTAGCTGCCCCCCCCCTTATAGTTATTTAGAGTGGAGTTTGGAATCAAAGCTAAGTTAAAGTCAAAGAACTTGGTAGAAAAACCATACCTTAGAAAAGAACATTTAGAGGACGTTTAGAGGTTGTCTTCTAAATTCTGCTTGAATACAATCATTGAACTCATTATTTCTTGAATCAGTCCATTCCATTTTTGAACAGCTTTAATTAATATATGTATATATATATACATACACATAAAATATATATAAATTATAGATAGAGATGAGAAAGATATATAGATAAATGTATATCTATGTTTTGGTATACATATAGAGAGGGGAGAGAGAGAAAGAAATGAAGAGAGAAATATATATATACAGAGATAAAGAGGAGAGGAGAGAAAGATACATACATACATACATATAGAAAGATAGAGAAAGGTATGTATATATATGTGTATACATTGAGAGAGAGATTCAGCTTTAATTTTTATAGAAAGAAAGTTATATGGAGAGGCAGCATGGCATAGTGGACAGCAAGCTGAACTTCAAGCTAGCCTATGTCCCTTCTTTTGACATGTAATGGTTATGAGACCCGGGGTAAATCACTTAACCTCTCAGTTCTTTATGTTATTCTCTAAGGCTCTAAAGTGCTGAGAAGGTGCTGACCTATATTAATAGAAGGAGTTTCCTTATGGGACAGTGCCAATACCAATGAAATTGAAGATCCAGTCCCTATTTCTATGCAGCCTGTCATTATAAGGAGCCACAATCTGCCTTCTTACTCTTTCCACCTGAGGGTCCTTACTTAATCTTAACAGCACAAAGAATGAGTCTAATCCTTCTTCCCTTTGATGATCCTACAAAGTGTGGAAGTCAGTCACCCTGCCCCCCCCTTCCCTTTGCATCTCTTATTTTCTCCAAGTTAAACATATCAGTTTCTTTAACCAATTCTTAGATGACCTGGTTTTGTGTTCCCTCACCATCTTAGCCTCCTGTGGTTGTGTTGAAGTTTCTTGTCAGTGTCTCTCCTCCAGTGTGGCCCTTTGCACTGACTGCAGTACTCTAGATATAACCTGACAGGGGGATACAGTGGAACTGTCACCTCGCTTACCTGTGCTTTGTGTATAATAACCACCATAATTTCAGGAGAAAGAAAGCCTTGACTATTAGGGAGACCGGGAGGTGAAACCTACTATCCTAATACTGCACTACTCTAGGTACTAACATGCACCAAGTTGAAGACAAAAAAAATGTGTTTGAGCCATATCAAGTAATACATTCACTGAAGGAGAGGCAGCCCCGTGTAGTGTATTTGAAGATAGCAAGGTTTCAAAACCTACCTCTGATGTTGACTAGCTATTGGCTCAGGGCAAGTCATTTAACTTCTCTGTTACTCAGTTTCCCTATCTGTAAAATAATGGGCATGGATTTGATGGCCTCTAAAGTTTCTCTTGGCTATCAATCTATCAACATATGATCCTTCAAATTGCACCATTTTCTTAACGATCACTTTTCTTCTGCCTTCTAATGTATTCTCGCTAAAATGATAAAGTTGAACCAACAGTGAACGTTTCACAAAGCAGTTTTAAAGTAGTAGCACCCTTTTTACCAAGAGATCTTGTCTGTCAATCAGTCAGTAAGCACTAAATAGCACCTGCTATGTGACAGATACTATGCTAGACACTGGGAAGATGAAAATGGAAAACAGTGAATTGACATCTTATTGGGGAAAACAATGAGCACATGAAAAAGCAGACACAAAATACAAAATAATCTTGAAGGAGAAGTTATTAGCCACTGAAGGGTGAGGAATCAAGTCAAGGTTCCTGTAGAAGGCATCATCTGAACTGTGCTTTAAAGGATTAAGTATCCAGACAGGTAAGAAGAACCAAAGAACAGCGGTCACTATAAACCAGAGAGGAGAGAGAGTATCCAGAGGAAGGGAAGGGGGAGTAATCAACCTTGTCAAATGCTGCAGAAAGGTCCAGAAGGTGAGGACTGAGGAAAGACCGTTGGCTTTGGCCAGAGAAAGATCATTGTGAACTTTGAAGAGAGCAGTTTCAGCTGAGTGTTGGGCTCTCTGGATAATAGATTTACAACTGGAAAGAACCTTAAAGGTCATCTTGTTCAACCATTTAATTTCATCGATGAGGAAACTGAGGCCCAAGTAGGCTAAGCGATTTGCACAAAGTCACACAAGTAGTAAGCACCAGAGCGTAGATTTAAAGCCAGATTTGAAGGGATTGAGAAGCGAGTGAGAAAAGTGAAAAGAGAAACAAGGTAGGTAGACAGATTTTCCAAAGAATTTGACTCTGAAAGAGAAGAAAACATAGGAAGCTAGTGTGAAGGGATGGTAGGATTAGGAGGTTTTTTAAAGATGAGAGAGGCCAAGGCATGTGTGTAGGCAGCAAATTTAGGACAATAGTCATAACTCCTTAACCACTTTTCCTTGTTAAAATAAATCTTTAAAATATAAAGCTATATATAGTCAAATCTTTGAGGGGAGTAAGCCAAAGGAGAATAGTTATAATACTATTCCTCCCAACCCTCTATAAAAACTATTTAAAAAAAAACTATTGAGATCTTTTTTCAATTGTTTTTCTTTGTATCACTTAAAGATCATCTGTATATGACTGTTTCTATGTTTCAGGCACTGAAAAAATTAAAGGGAGTTTGTTTAAGACTATCCCTTGGTCCATGTTGTTTGGAGGCATGCTCAGCTGCTGTTTTTTCTCACTTTATTATGAAGTTTCCATGGCGATGGGGATTTCTATTAGGGTAATTTATTTTCATTTTTCCTGTGAAAATAAGCAAGCCTAGGCTCCTGGGTTAAAAATGATGGATATATCTATTCTGCTGAATAGTCATGCTGTCTATAAATATGTGTTTGAAAATGTATATGATATGTACTATTGCCCTTCAACAGCTTTTGTCTTCTTACCATGGAAGACACTGTGCTAGGCTTTAGGGGCATACAAACCAAAACCAAATGAGCTGATAACAGAGTATAAAGCCAGGTTCATCACACAGCTTCTTTTTTTTTTTTAATACCTAGAATACATAGCCTCTAACATCTCTAGACCCTAAAGGGCTAGTCAAGTGCCTAAGTATTGAATAATTCATATTCTGTAGTATCATTCATCTTTCTCTCCCACCAACTCAAAATAAGTTTTATTGAGTCCAGGGGTGGGGAACCTGTGGCCCTGAGGCTATGTGTGGCCCTCTAGATCCTCAAGTGCGGCCCTTTGACTGAATCCAAACCCTGTGGCCTTGAGGCCAAAGGTTCCCCACCCCCAGGCAGAAGGATGAGGAGGAGGTGTACCAATGGACTAGGAGTCATGGAAAATACCACACTGTTTGTCCAAAGGAATTCCATTTGTCTTTAGACACTTCTCAATCACCCAACGAGTATTTATGATGATGATGATGATTATTGATGCACTTATTATGTGCCCAGAATGGCCATGTAAGTGAAGCTCAAGGAGTTTGTAACTTAATTAACTACTAGAGTAGCACCTAGGAAACACAGTCTAAAAGAGAATTCTGTTAAATCATGCAGTATAGATAGCTACTGGGTGTTATAGTAGGTCTGGAAGGGATGAGATAATTGTGGTCTGGGGTAGTTCTGGAATGAAAGAGTAAAACCTGAGATGGGCCTTAAAAAACAAGTGGAATTTTAATAAGTGGAAAAGAGTAATGAAGTAAACACAAAGTAATTTTAGACATATGATTATTGCTGTATTTAGGCAATTTCTCATTTACAACTGTTTGTCTTCCAAAAAGTTCATTTGTAATTTGTTGGAGTGCATTTTCTCTTAGAAATAATGTTAGAGGGGGCAGCTAGGTGACGCAATGGATAGAGCTCTGGCCTTGGAGTCAGGAGGACCTGAGTTCAAATTCAGTCTCAGACACTTGACTCTTACTAGCTGTGTGATGATAGACAGGTCATTTAACCCTGATTGCTTCACCAAAAAAAGAAAAAAAAAAGAAATAATGTTAGAGATAGCACTTACGATCTCCTTCGGACTCCTTCTGGTTAAGCCATAATGTAGCTATCAGAAATTTATATCAAATGTCATTATATGGTACATTGATCATGTACAGTGTGCAAATGCCTTTTAAAATATAGTTCTTTGTCATGTTCTTAGATTTGCTTTTGTTACTTTTTAAAAAAATTATTAACTACCAAGCAATCCCTGTACAATGCATAGACCATGGTCCATTTGATGGACCATACCATGAAAAATAGCATATCGTATATAATTCCTGACGAGAACACTGCATCCATCCAACTCAAAACTGTATGTAATTATGGCTTTCAGAGTTTTCTTTACACATCAACTTCATGTCCGTGGTCACTCAACTAGTTAGGGCCAGTGTTGTGTCTTTTTTAAGTTTTTAAAAGCTTTATTAAACTTTTTTTTTTTAAAGCTTTGTCATAGGTGCAGTTTCTCCTGCTGTTGTGGTCCCCTCAATGCTGATTCTGCAAAAACAAGGATATGGGGTCAAAAAGGGGATCCCCACCTTGCTGACTGCTGCCAGCAGCTTTGATGATATTCTGGCTATCACTGGTTTCAATACACTCTTAAGCATAACATTCACTTCAGGTAAATTAAGCAATCCACAACTTTGAGCCTCAGTTTTCTGTTATTCTGCTTAATAATATTCCTGACTTCACTTCTTAATGGACTAATTAAAATGTAGAGCTTAAGAAGGATTTCATTCTTTTCATTTTTTTACAGGCAGAAAAAAAATTGTTAGTGCATTGGGAAACTATCGGCTGACCCAGCAGCTTTTACTAGAATTACCAGGGGTTAAATTAAGACATATATTTGGTGCAGGCCTGTGATTTCATTGGTAGAGGCAACTCTCATTGAGAAAAATTCCCTAACCAATACACATCTACAACTGTTCTGTATCCAATAGTCTTGAGGCCATGAATCCATGGATTCAATCAAAGGGTGACACGTGAGGACCTAGAGGTCTACATGTGGCCTCAACGACGCAGGTTCCCCACCCCTGTCTAGGGCCCTGAGAAGAAAAGAGCCTTACCCAGAGTCCTAGCCAGTATGGGTCAGAAGCACCTGACAAAGCTGGTTCTTTAGCCACTAAGCCAAGATGCCTATTCCTATATAAATATCAGCTATCATCATCATCACCAAGCTAGGAGTATAGCTAAATTGAGCTTAATTCATATTGAGCACGGGACATATCCTAGAATAAATGGGGTTTGTTTGTTTGCTTGTCAACTTACTCGATGATTTTCTGCTTCTTAGCTTGATAGGTGTCTGTCCCATCTCAGCTAGAGTCTTATCCGCTACAAAAAGCCTTTCCCAGTCCTCCTTAATCTTATTGCCTCCCCCCAATTTTTCCTGACTATATCTTGTTTGTACATAGATCTTTGTGTGTTGTTTTCCCCATTAGACTATGGGCTCCTGGAGAACAGGGATTGTCTTTTGCCTTTCTTTGTATCCATAGTACTTAGCACAGAAATTAATAGCACACATAACATATAACAACATTGCACACAGTAGACCAAATACACTAATATCATGCAAGGTAGCTAGGTAGCACAGTGGATAGAATGCTTGCCCTGGAGTGGGGAAGACTTGAGTTCAAGTATGACCTCAGACAGTAGCTGTTGACCCTGGGCAAATCATTCCTCTGTTTGCCTCAGTTTCTTCAACTATAAAACAGAGATATTAGCACCTTGTAGGTGCTAATCCTTAAATAATCCTTATTAGGATCAAATAAGATAGTATTTGTTAACATATTGCCTAAATGTTCATTCTATTCTCCCTCCCCCAATACATAAGACAAAGCATCAAGATCACATAGAGAAGCGTACCAGTAGGTCACATGCAGAACCTAATACATGTACACATAGCATTAGTGTATATAGCAAAGAAATTTGCTGTATACAAAATATTTAGGTGATATATATATATAACACATCCAGGGGACTGCATGAATCACCGAGATACATGAATTCCAACATTGGATGTTGTCTGACTATGTGTGTAGCTGCTTCACACATTATGCCTTAAGCATCTAAAGTTAACTCTGTCACTGACCAAAAAGTCATGACACTTCTTTGTTGACCTTTAGTAGCTTTTGTTGCGTTCCTGAGCTTAGGGATGCTCTAGGCACTGGAGATAGCTTCTATTCCTTTAGGGACTGCTATTGGTAGAATGTTAGGCAAAAAAGACCCTCTGTACCAGAATAGAAGACCCTCTCAAGCTGGAATAGATTACGTTGACTTCCCTGACCCTCTGACAAGTACCCTTACTCAATATCTTCCTTATCTAAATTTTCTCCTTCTGACCTATCTCTTAGAGCCCACATGGCTTGAATCTCCATTGCTCTTTTCTTCCCGGTCACCAAGTACTCCAATGAACTCTTTAGTGGCCAAGAGATAGTTGGTATGCATTACTTTCGTGAAATACCAAGTGTTCTTTGAGGCTGTTTTGTAGACTGGTAGATATCTCAGTCTTTCAACTACTTGGTATGAGATGGTTTTCTTTTTTCTTTTTTTTGGCTAAGCAATGGGGTTAAGTGACTTGCCCAGGGCCACACAGCTAATAAGTGTTATGTGTCTGAAGCCGAATTTGAACTCAGGTCCTTCTGAATTCAGGGCCGGTGCTCTATCCACTGCGCCACCTAGCTGCCCCAACATGAATTCCTGGAAGAGCTAAAGAAAGTTTTTTTTTTTTTTTTTTTAAAGAGCAATACACATATATATAATAGGGTGGATTTGAACTCATGTCCTCCTGACTTCAGGACTGGTGCTCTATCCACCGCGCTACCTAGCTGCCCCGACATGGTTTTCCATCAGACCTCTATCTTGTGTATTTCCTGAACACTGTGACTTTTTAGCAGGTACCTATTCCTTTGTTGAGATTATTGACAGAGAACTTGTGAATTGTAACATCTGAGCTCTTCTGAACTGAGGACAAAGATATGCTATATCAACCAGACTTTCAGCCAGAAGATATAATGGCTATGAGTCGCCATATCTATTGTATCCTCTGAGACTGAAGCACAAATCAATAGGTAAACATGACTCCTGCTCAAACATAAGCAGATAGAATATAAAATCTCTGGTGTGGTTCTTGGTTGTAGTATAGTATATGTATGCACCAGGAAAACCATATGTAAGTTACATTGAGACTTCTTCTCAGGGCTCTGTGTCTCAAGTATATTTGATAGTTGGCCATTAAAAGGCTCACTCAGGCTACAGATATGGAGTTTCTGCTGAAGCTAGGAATCCCCTTGCTGTCGGGATTCTATTATGGTCTAAATGTATCCTAGTGCAAAAACAAAAACAAAAACAAAAAAAGCCACATACAAATATTTCTCACTAACACCTTTGCAACCAAAGAATTTTTTTGGTTTCTCATTGGATATGTTCACAATACAAGAAAAAAAATGGTCTGTCACCACTAAGTGCTTATATTCTTCCTATTTTCTTTCAGAGATAACATACATAAACTCTAAAAACTTGAAGGGGGTTCCTACTCTGCAAGCAAATAGTCAGAGTTGGCAGATAGCCAAAACCATCTTGGGCTCCTAGAATATGTTTTGTACCAGCTTTGAGATTCTCTCTTTTTTTTTTAAAAAAAAATTATACTTTATTTATTTTAACATTCATTTTAAAAAATTGTGAGTTCTGAATTCTCTTCTTTCCTCCACCCCTCCCCCCACCTATTGAGAAAGCAAACACCGTTATATCAATTATACATGTAAAGTCATGCAGAACATATTTGCCATGTTGGCAAAAAAAAAATTGAAAAAAATATGTTTCAATCTGCATTCCAAGTTCATCAGTTCTTTCTCTGGTTGTGGATTGCATTTTTCATTGTGAGTCCTTTGGAATTGTCTTGAATCATTATATTGATTAGAGTCAGCTTTAAGATTCTCTTGAACCAAGTATGCAGTATTATTATGTAGTACTGTTATGAGAACAAAATGAAATGCACCAGCTACTTTCTTATACATCTCATCAGATCAGTTTTCATCCCTTACAGCATTCCTAACTTCGGTCATTGTGTTAAGAGAAGGGTGCCCTTGGGGGGAATGAAATCTGAGTCACTTCATTCTTGCCATACATCATTTCTTTAAAAATAAACACATTATATTGATGCCTTTGGTTTTCGTGCTCTCCTCCCTAGTACACTCAACTGTTTTGTCCATATCTGAAGCAAAATACAGCTCTGCTTTTCCATCTAGGCTCCATTGGCGCAATTCTTTTTTTTTTTAATTTTAAACAAAAACTTTATTTAAAAAAAGATGTTGACTTGAAGGGGAAACTCTCTAGCATCTTTTTATAGTACTATATTTTATCTCTACTGAACGACAGTGATTCCTCTACATGTAACACATACATAGAAATAAAATGTCATAATGTCATGGTTTTACAATGATAAAAAGAAAAATATCAAACAAGATATGCAAGGATTTTTGTGGGCTTTTGTTGTTGTTGCTGTTAAACGATGAGAGGAAAATAAATTACTGAAATATAAAGAAAAAAATTGAATGAGCATGCTAGTAATGGAGAAAAGAGATATAGAATCAGTTAGCTTTTGTCCCCTCCCCATATCCATTTGATGTTGATGAAATTAATACCATCAGCCACTTAGTTTTTTTTTCAATGTATTATGCTTATATCCAGTCACCAGTTTCTTTATGCACAATAAAGAGTTGGGGGAAAGGAATCGGAGAAGAGAGAAAATTTGTATCCATTAGACAGGATATAAAGAACCAAATCTCAGCTTTCTAATTGTGAATGTAGTGGTTTTTCTTGGGAGCATGATTCAGGAATAAAGTTGCAATTTCTCTTTTTAGTCAATGTTTTCTGTTAGCTGCTGGGACTCATCAATTATATCTTCATCCTCCATTTCCCCAATGTTCAGGGGTGTCCATTTAATTGATTTATTGCCCATCAATATGTAATCTGATCTGCCTCAGTGGCAAACCCGGTCTTTCACAACAGGCTTTCACAATAGCTTTATTAAGTGGCATGTGCTTCTTAATCTTCAGTCTGCACCGCAGAACCATCTTGCCCTTACTCCTTCAAATTAATGTGATTTCTGTTTTCAATCTTGATTTCTTCCTTGGGTTTCTTGTCAGCTATGGCATCTTCAGTTCCATCTTATCTCCTCAGGAGAAGTTTAAAACCAGCTTCACATCCTCATAAGTAGGTCCATTAATTATTTTGCAAACATCTTCCAGAACCCGGTCTTATTGATGATTCTGACATGTACCACTGCATTAACTAAGTCACGGAATACGATATTTTTTGTCATCTCTAATCATTTTAGATGATACCTGACATTTACCCAAACTGTCTCCTCCCACATACATACCACAAAGAAGTCTCTTCAATATCTTTATGAAAGTATTCCAAAGATACTCCCCAAAATAATAATCCTTAATGGGATCAATCCTGCTAATGTACACCAATTTTTGCATAGCCATGACGCTGTTTTATTTCAACCTTAATCAATTCAACAATGATCAACAATAACAGCCCTGTAATTGCATTTAAGTATGTACACATCAAACTGGCATGTTGAACACCATGAGGTTACAGTCTAAGTGAAACAGTAGCTGGACTCTTCAAGACTTTATACTGTCAATCACAGCCCAGAAAAGATTAAGAAAAAGTAAAATCAGAAAAACCTTTTGTGGGCCCTGCAATGCCAAAGGACATAATAATCTCAGCCTGAACCAATAATTAAATAAGTTCACAAAAATAAATTTAAATAGACCTTAAATGAGGGCAAGGAGATGTGACAGGTTTTGCTTGTTTGTTTGTTTCTTTAATGGGGTTTATGGGCAATCTCTCCTTCCCTATTACTCTTTTGGGAGCATGATTCAGCAGTCAGTTGCAGTTTCTCTTTTTAGTTAATGCTTACTTAGTTTTAGTTAATGCTCCCAAAGAGGCTCCCTCTTTTTCTGTTACATAGCATCTGACTGAGGCAGATTGTCTTGGGGATTTGTGGCTCACGGCTTTTATCATAACTAGCACTGAGATACTCAATGCTGTAAAACTTGCAAAGTTTCATACGTGATCTCATTTGTTTCACTAACCCTGTGATTCAGGTGCTACAGATGTGACATCTAAGACATTCCTCCCATTCACAAAGGGAAGTCAGGTAGCCCAGCATCTTCTTCCACCAATGGAACCAAGTCCCATATGCTTTTCCATCATGGGACTTCAAATTCTGAGGCCTGCTCCACTCCCATATAAATCTGACCAGGATATCAGATCTCTGGTGCTGTTTGTGACATATGTACATGATGATAATTACAGATGTATACATGTAGCATACAGCTAGGGACTCAGCGGATAGAGTGCTAGTCTGGAGTCAGGAAGACATCTTCCTGAGTTCAAATCTGGCCTCAGACATTTTCTAGGTGGGTGACCCTGGGCAAATCCCTCAACCTTCTCTGCCTCAGTTTCCTCATCTATAAAATGAATTAGAGAAGGAAATGGCAAACTGCTCCAATATCTTTGTCAAGAAAACCCCAAATGGAATCACAAAGAGTCAGATATGACTGAAATGACTGAGCAACCACAACAAAAATATGTAATTGCTCAGTAGACCGAGTGGAGTGATATACTTACTATAGCATGTCCTAAGAGTCTTACTGCAGTTTCAAGCTTTAAAAAACTTCATAACTCTTATAAAAAAGCAACATTTGGAAGGTAAATTATTTTAAATTCAACAAAACTACCATCTTGTGCTATACATCACTCAGACGATTTTCAAACTTTGTAAAAATTTTCATCAGATGTTGTTCAGTGACTTTGTAATGTTAGCCATTTTGATGTCTACATGACAGATTTGACATGACCCCACGAGAAAAAGTCTAATGGATATGGATCAGGTGATGAAGTGATCAATCAAAAGGACCTCCTCTACCATTTTACTGGTCTGAGAAAGTGTCATCCAAGAACTGTCCAACATGTAATGCATAATTACAGTGTGCTTCATCTGGTTAAAACTGAAATTCAAAATTTATTATTCAAAGTTCATAAAATTAAACAAATGTAAAAGAAGTATAAATAATTAAATTTTCAAATGATGTTTTTTATATTTACAGCATTCATACTTCTGAAGCTATTAACACTTAAAACTGCACTATGACTTTTGAGACATAGTATATTAGAGGCTGATTTTCATATATTTGTTTTAGGATATATCTATTCTGCTCTGTTAGTAATGTTGGTTTTGTCCATGGGTTTTTTTTTTTGTGTGCAGGGAATACTGATAGGGTAATGTTTGTCTTTCTGTATTTTATTGTATATGGACAGATATTTCTTTAAAATGGTCTCCTGAGCTAATATGACAAAAAAGGAAAATGATAAATGTTAGAGGGGATGTGGGAAAATGAACCACTAATGCATTGTTGGTGGAGTTGTAAAATGATCCAACCACTCTGGAGAGCAATTTGGAACAATGCCCAAAGGGCTATAAAACTGTGCATACCCTTTGATCCAGCAATACTACTGCTGGATCTGTATTCCAAAGAGATTTTAAAATAAAAAGGAAAAAGAACCTATTTGTACAAAAATATTTATAGCAGCTCTTTTTGTGGTAGCTAAGAATCGTAAATTGAGGGGATGCCCATCAATTGGGGAATGGCTGAACAAGTTCTGGTATATGATCATAATGGAATATTATTGTGATATAACAAATGACAAGCAGGATGATTTCAGAAAAACCTGAAAAGACCTACATGAATTGATACAAAGTGAAATGAGCAGAATAAGGAGAACATTGAACACAGTAACAACAATATTATATGATGATCAACTGTGAATGACTTAGCTATTCTCTGAAATCCAGTGATCCAAGACAATTCCAAAGGACTCATGATGAAAAATGCTATCTGCTGCAGAAATGAAAACCATCCATAGTCATATGAAAAAATGCTCTAAATCACTATTGATTAGAGAAATGCAAATCAAAACCACTCTGAGGTACCATATCATACCTATCAGATTGACCAACATGATAAAACAGGAAAATGATAAACGCTGGAGAAGATGTGGGAAAATTAGAACACTAATGCATTGTTGGTGGAGTTGTGAAATGATCCAACCATTTTGGAGAGCAATTTGGAACTATGCCCAAAGGGCTATAAAAATGTGCATACCCTTTGTCCCAGCAATAGCACTTCAAGGGTATATCCCAAAGAGATCATAAAAATGGGAAAAGGACCCACACGTACAAAAATATTTATAGCAGATCTTTTTGTGGTGGCCAAGAATTGTAAATTGAGGGGATGCCCATCAATTGGGGAATGGCTGAACAAGTTGTGATATTTGAATGTAATGGAACACTATTGTCCTATAAGAAATGATGAGCAGGAGGACTTCAGAAAAACCTGGAAAGACTTGTATGGACTGATGCTGAGTGAAGTGAGCAGAACCAGGAGAACGTCGTACATAGTAAGAGCCACATTGTGCAGTGACTAACTTCGATAGACTTAGCCCTTCTCAGCAATGCAAGGATCTAAGACATCTCTAAAAGTCTCACATCCAGAGAAACAACTGTGGTGTTGGAATGCAGATCGATGAATACTACTTGCTCTTCTTTTTTTCTTCTGTTTTGTTTTGTTACTTCTTTCTCGTGGTTCCTTCTATTGGTTTTAATTCTTCCTTACAACATGACTAATGTGAAAATATGTTTAATAGGAATGTATATGTGTAGCCTATATCACATCGTGTGCCGTCTTGGGGAGGGAGGTAGAGAGGGAGGGGGAGAAAAAAATAAAACTCACAGGCTTATGGCAATGATTGTTGATAAATAAAAATAAATTAATAACAATTATTTCATACAAAAAAAGAAAAAAAGAAAAATGCTATCTGTGTCCAAAGAAAGAACTGATGTCTGAAAATACCACTCAAGCATACCATTTTTCTTTCTTTCTTTCTTTCATTCTTTCTTTCTTTCTTTCATTCTTTCTTTCTTTCTTTCTTTCTTTCTTTCTTTCTTTCTTTCTTCCTTTCTTTCTTCCTTTCTTTCTTCCTTTCTTCTTGCTTTTCAATTTTTTTTGTCACATCTTCTTGCACAAAATAACCAATATGAAAATGTTTTACATGATTGCACATGTATAATCTGTATCAGATTGCTTACCATCTCAAGGAGGGAGGGATAGAATTTGGAACTCAACACTTTAAAAAAAATGAATGTTGAATTGTTTTTACATGTAATTGGGGAAGAAATAAAATGTTTTTAAAAATAAAATAAAATGGTCCCCTAATAATGTGTTGTTTATTATAGGTCCTGTATATAAGAATGTCATCAAGGGTTTTTATGAAATAGTAATTGGTGTGACAGGAGGAATTATTATGGGATATTTTGTTCGCTACTTTCCAAGTAATGAACAGGTAAATAGGAAATAAATCTATTGATGAAATGTGGTGTTTAAGCATTTAATAAGAAAAGTTGTAATTTGGGAAGACATAAAATATCACTACATTTATTTTTGTGAAAACTGTTCTTTAAGGAAGTTTCAGATTCCTACTGCTTGGTAACAGAGTTTACACACAGGGGTCTCTTTTACCATTACAGAAAAGGTATATCCTTAAATATTGATTTAAGTTGACTTATTTAATCTAATTTACTTGCAAGTCAATTCTTAATTATTCAGAGGCTGTTGTTTGGAATAGGAAGTCCTATTTCTTCTCCTCTCTCCCACTAAAACCTTCATGGTTACTAGTACCAAGATGGTGAAAACAAGGCAGTTATTACAAATATGTTGATTTTGCTGCTAGGTGGCAGCTCTGCTTTAAAGATTTTTGTGAGAAAAGAGACAGAATGTTCAGCTATTCTTAACCTGGTTACTGGAGATAGAAATGTCATGAATAGTAAAACTTCATAGATAATGCAAAACTTTTCTTGAGAGTTTAATGTAAATTAATCTTTAAATATCTTTGTCTCTAACCCTAGACTATACTTGCCTGGAAGAGAGCATTCCTCCTCCTGAGTTTATCTGTTGTGGCTGTCATAGGCAGCAATCGAGTTGGTTTACAAGGAGCTGGAGGACTGGCCACCGTAGTGTTGACCTTTGTTTCAGCGTTGGGGTGGAACCAGGAAAAGGTGAACTCTTTGCTAGCATACTTAATATAACAACTGCATGCTTTTTATTTCTATAATGAATGGTCAAGCAGTTCTCAATTTCCCAATGAACTGTGTTCCCAATGTTTGTTAGTTATTCAGTTGTTTGGAATTCAGGACACAGTTTCCAATAGAAATAATTTTATAAATGGGATGTTAGGATCCTCTGTTAACTCATAAAAGGCAATTTAACCCACAATATCACTGCAATACAGTAATTTGCAATAGTATTGTTTTCTGCTAGTTGAAACACGTTCTAAACTTAGTAATCAGTAAAAAAAGTCATTAAAATACACAGAAATAAAAAATGAGAGAGGAGAGCACAATCAACTCCATTATTTGAAGCTTGTTTTTTTATGAAAAATAGCTTTTAAAAGAATAATTAAAATAATTAAAATTAAAATAAAAAAGAATAACTAAAATCTTCATTGTTCCTTTTGAAGTCTGTCTTCAATGTATTTTTTCAGATTTCATCATTATTATCATTATGTATGCTATGTTTTGATTTTGCTTTATTTAAAAATACTCTACATCACTTTACATACATCATCCCAACCTTCTTTGCATTCGTCTTATAACCCAATATAAGAATTGGGTTCAGTCGTGATTAACAGTTGTGGTACAATTGTGATACAATTTGTTTGACCATTCCTCACTACATGGATCCATGAATTGTTTTCAGCTATTATTGTTTTTGCCATTTTTGCTGTTCTAAATAATGTAACTAAATAATAAGTATTTTCTCACAAATGCACCTATTTTTTTGCCTTTCAGTAATGTCTATACAGTGTAGTCCTAGTAGAAGAATTACTAGATCAATGATGATCATATGAATAATATGGTTGTTCTAACCGTTACAATGTTGTAATAAATATCTTCTCACAAATAAGTCCTTTTTTTTTTTTTTTTGCTTTCCAGCATTTTCTGTACAGTGTAATCCTAGTAGGGAAACTGCTAGATCAAATATTATCATATGAATAACATGGTCATTCTATGACAATGTTCCTTTCTAAAAAGATTCCTTTCATTCATAGTATCCCTGCCCAAGTATAATATTCCCTTTTCTCCACAGCCTAACCAAAATTGATCTTTGTCATTTCTATCAATTTTTGCCAGTTTAGTGGATGTCAGCTTATATCATACAATTGTTCCAACTTATTTTTTCTGATTATTAGAGAATTTGAACAATTGTTACTTGTTTGCATTTCTATTGAGAACTTCATATCTTTTGATGTCTCATCCATTGTCCGTTATACAATAACTTTAATTTGTATATAATCTAGTCCAGCAGTGACAATCCTATAATTTTGTCAAATAGAAAGTAATTTTCCTGCTTTTCTGCTATTTTTCCTTGTAAGTACAATGAAAGTAGTAGAAAGCATCTATAATTGAAAATAGGGTTTTTAGAGAGTCATTTAGGTGTTTATCCTCTTATTTGTTTATACTTTGATACAAACTGTGGGGGTATTGTTACTTTTCTGATTCAAAGGACAGCGGTGAAAGCACAAACAAGCCAAGCGTATGTTCTTTACTATGAAAATAAATATTTCTCTTTGAAATGATGGCCCTATTGTGTGTTAATAGTCTCACAGTGTACTAACAGGAAGTAGAGAAATGTCTAATTTGATACATGCCCTGTGAAATAAATAGGTTTTGGTGAGGGGGCCTTGAAAATTAATCACTATTTGTAGCATATTTCTATTTTTTAAGAATGCTTTCTGTGGTACAGGGTGAGAAAGATCCTTGACAGAAGGCTCCCACCGGAGTTATGGTTCTCCGATTCTCCTCCATCGTGGGTGCCAGTGGTAATCTCTTTCAACCCCAGGCAGTGGTTTAGCTCCAGTCTCTCTTCTAGACCTAAAGTATCTGCAGCCTCCCTTAATATGGCACTGGAGAATAGCAAGGACAAGGCATGCTGTCTACTTTCTATTCTTGGCGTTCTGAGACAATTTCTAATTCCCTACATAATTCCACTCTATCTTCCCCAGAACCAGTGCTCTTATATCAATTATTGTCATCCCCTGCTTCTCTGCTATATTTGATAGATGATGACATCTTAAAAACTTCTCCTTTGGGTGACACACCTTCATCTCTAGTCACTTTTTGCTTTTTTCGAAGCTGATCCCCTCCCTCTGGGGGCAATCTTTTTATTTCGACTACTTACCATTTCATTGGTAGGAAGTCTTCCTTACCTCTAGTTTAAATTTCTTTCCTTATTCTATCGTCTGGGGCCCCACTGGCAAGTTCTAGCCCTTTCTCCAAGCCACAGCCCTTCAAATACTTGAGTATAGTTAACACTTCTCTTAACTTTCACTTCTTTAGGTTAAATTTACCTAATTCATTCAGCCTTTCCTCATGCATCATAAATTCAAAGACTTTCATCAACCTGGTTGCCTTCTTTTGGACATTCTCCAGCTATTGAAATAATGGTAGAAGCCAAAGCTATGAAATGGAATGCTGCCCTGGACACTAAATGGTCCCACAAAGCACCAAGAAACCGTTGCTTTCTCCCAAAATATTTAGCTTATTGTCAAAAGTATTAAATGATGTCTTTGGACATAAAAAGACTGCAGAGCTGTTAAGAAATTGATCTAAAATGGAAGCTGACATCCCTGAAAAGTACCAAACCTGTGCTTGACGCGTTAGAAGAAAAGTGCTCCTATACCTCCCATTGCATTTTTGCAGAGTGTATAAGTATTAGCAAGGCTTCTTTCTTTTAATTTTATTTTTTATTTATTTTTGATGAGGCAATCAGGGTTAAGTGACTTGCCCAGGGTCACACAACTAGTCAGTGTCAAGACTGAGGTCAGATTTGAACTCAGGTCCTCCTGACTCAAAGGCCAGAGCTCTATCCATTGCACCACCTAGCTTCCCCAAAGCCTCTCTCATTTTTTTTTTTTTTTTTTTTTGCTTTTGCTTTTTGGTGAGGCAATCAGGGTTAAGTGACTTGCTCAGGGTCACACAGCTAGTACATGTCAAGTATCTGAGATCACATTTGAACTCAGGTCCTCCTGACTCCAAGGCTGGAGCTCTATCCACTGCCCCACCTAGCTGCCCCAAAAGCTTCTCTTTTGAAGGAGATAGCAGTAACCAAGGTCAAATCTTCTTTGCTTTTTCTATACTCTGCTGAAAACCTGTGAAGGAGAGATAGGTCAGGGTAGTACTCCATAGAAGTATGGGAGGTCGTTTTGCTGGGACACCTGGAATGAGGTATTTGGACTGGCAGTGTCTGAACTGCTGATGGGGAGGAGGTTGAGTGCAAGGAAAACCCTATCTGAAAGCACCCAAGCTTGTAGTATAAATTTGTGAGACTCTGGATAACAGTGGCAGCCCAAAGGGACATCACAGAACTCTGACACTCAATAATCTTTGTGCTCTAGAATTTATTGAACAATCAGTCAGAAACAATGGCTGCATCTGTTGAAGCTGGGGTTGGGTCACGTGCCATGCAGTGAAACTAAATTATCTTCCCATTTTCTGGGAATGCAAAGTTTAAACTGAGTGGGCAATTCATATTTCACAAAGAATGGTAGGTCATCACTCACCTGAAAGTCTAAATAACATAATTTATTTTTTTTTCTGGCTTTATGTAAGTATTTTAAAAACATAATACAGGTGTTTTCTTTCAAGATCATGTGAAGTTGCAAAGGAGATAATATTAATGGGAAATGGGGGCAAAGACAAACCATTTGTGATAAATTTATAAAATATTTTGTATTAATGATTTTACTTTTGTAACCTTCAGCCAAGCTGATATAAAAATCTAGTCCAGGGCACAAGGAGGCAGGAATCCAGATGACCTCTCTACCACACCCATAAAGAATGTAGGTGCGTCCACAAAAAGGAAAAAGTCTTTTACCTGTCCATACCATCATCACCCACTTTTATGCAGGGGAACCTGTCCCTCTATATTAAGATGGCAACTTGTATGTCATGAAAAAAAAATGAATCTTCAGGATCAGGAAATCTTGTCTGCTTGGCTTGGTTTAATCCAGGAACTCTGTTCTCCTATGAACATGTGGTATAGTCAAGGTCTGGGAGAATGAAAGTCATTTTGAATCCGAAAGCAAAATATCAGGAGGAGTAATAACATCTCCCTGGACACGCAGTAGTACGAACACCCAGCATTCAATCTTGGCAGTAGGGAGGAATGGATGATTACATACAGTGATCACCTTAATCACACATTCCCCCCCCCCCCCACCACCACCTTTTTTTTCCTCTCTGCCTCCAAGTTTTCCTTTCAAAAGCTTCTCCATGAAGAAAATTTATCTCCATGAAGAAAAGCATCTCAGGAGGAAAAGATAAGCAAAACAATTTTGAAACATTAAAGAACTAGCAAAGTACCAAAATACCTTTTTTTTCACATAAACATTTCCTTTACACCCTTACTGGAATTCTCCTTTGTTGTTGACCTAGAAAGATGATGGTTTCTCCAGTCTGCTCTCTTCTTAGACTGAGTAGTCATCCCTGCATTACTGTGTGTGTATTTTTCATCTTCTGCTCTTTTGTTTTAAGTTCTCTTTACCTATTACACCAGGATATTGGCAGAACTGGGTAAGGGGTGACCAGGAAGGTTGGTAAGAGGAGTCTACATAAGAGGGCTCTGGAGGAACCCCATGTTTAGGTAAACAAAGATGCAAGGCTAAAGAGGTTAGTTAAGGCAGGAAAGATCAGACAAACAAGCTAGGGTCTGCTGTTGTTCAGTCATTCAGTCATGTTTGACTCTTCATGACCCCACGAACCACAACATACCAGGCTGTTCTATCCTCCACTATCTCCCAAAGTCTGTCCAAGCTCATGTTTGCTGCTTCCATGACATTATCTATCCATCTCACCCTATGCTGTCTCCTTCTCCTTTTGCCTTTGATGTTTCCCATCAGAGACTTCTCCAATGAGTCCTGTCTTCTCATTATGTGACCAAAGTATTTAAGCTTCAGCTCCAATATTTGACCTTCCAATGAGCAGTCTCAATTAATTTC